CATTTCCTTCGTGGCTAAGGGTCATTTCTTCGTGGCTAAGGGTCATTTCTTCGTGGCTAAGGGTCATTTCTTCGTGGCTAAGGGCAATTTCTTCGCTAAGGGCCATTTCTTCGTCGCTAAGGGCTAAACCCTAAACCCTAAACCCTAAACCCTAAACCCTAAACCAAAAACCCTAAACCCTAAACCCTAAACCCTAAACCCTAAACCCTAAACCCTAAACCCTAAATCTCTGGTGCCTGGATAGAGATGCTTCCGGATGATCCCCAGCGTAGCGAGATGACCACATCCTCGAGCCAGGCCTCCGTCACCTGCCAAACGGCTCAGGGTTTAGGGTTTAGGGTGTAGGGTGTAGGGGTTTAGGGTTTAGGGTTTAGGGTTTGGGTTTAGGGCTTAGGGCTTAGGGCTTAGGGTTTAGGGTTTAGGGTTTAGGGTTTAGGGTTTAGGGTTTAGCGTTTAGGGTTTAGGGTTTAGGGTTTAGGGTTTAGGGTTTAGGGTTTAGGGTTTAGGGTTTAGGGTTTAGGGTTTAGGGTTTAGGGTTTAGGGTTTAGGGTTTAGGGTTTAGGGTTTAGGGTTTAGGGTTTAGGGTTTAGGGGTTATGGTTTAGGGTTTAGGGTTTAGGGTTTAGGGTTTAGGGTTTAGGGTTTAGGGTTTAGGGTTTAGGGTTTAGGGTTTAGGGTTTAGGGTTTAGGGTTTAGGGTTTAGGGTTTAGGGTTTAGGGTTTAGGGTTTAGGGTTTAGGGTGTAAGGTTTAGGGTTTAGGGTTTAGGGTTTAGGGTTTAGGGGTTAGGGGTTAGGGTTTAGGGTTTAGGATTTAAAGGTTTAAAGGTTTAGAGTTTAAGGCCACAATTCTGCCAACCATTGAAAACAAAGAGGTGCAGTGAAGCGTTGCACAAAAGTCAAAAACTTGCACCGGACGCCTTCAGGTCCCTGTGGCAAAAAAGACATACCGAAAAGCATGTGACGAGCCACCACAGGGCTGGGTGGTTTCAACACCTCGTGCAAAACGCCAAAAAAAAATGAAGAGCCTCAAAAGCCCTAAACCTAAACCGTAAACCTAACCTCCAAACCCCTTCTTGGCCCTTGCTGCCCCTTATGCCCATGCTTGGTGATCCTTGGTGGTCCTTGCCTGCACTGGGAGGAGAACGCCCAGATGTTCTAGAGCCTGCTCCTGCGACCAGCTGGGTGTTGGATTTTAGGAAGTCAAGTAGGGGTCGCAAGACCCAAAACACGCACGGAACCTGCCCCTCATAGGTTTAGGTTTAGGGTTTAGGGTTTAGGGTTTAGGGTTTAGGGTTTAGGGTTTAGGGTTTAGGGTTTAGGGTTTAGGGTTTAGGGTTTAGGGTTTAGGGTTTAGGGTTACTCCTCTAAACCTTGTATCCTGCGACAGGCTCGGCCCAAGACGCGAAAGCCCATGCTCACAGACCGCTCCTGCAGATCAATTCTCTCCAGCTCCAGAGACCAGCTGGCAAAGGAAAAGTTGAGCAGCTCGCGGGGAACGTCCTGTGCTCTGTTCAGATCGGCTTATCATCTGAAGAGCTCTTCTTTGTAGAGGTCTCCGGTTCCCTGTGAGGCTTTCAGTAGGGATGGCAGTCCCCCTCCCGAGCTTCGAACGAAAGGGGCAAGGACTGCAACACCTGAGACCTCTCGAACCTCATCACCATACAACTATGATCCAAAAGCCGTCAAGGTCCGATCCCAGAAAGGGGGCCTAGTGCCTTCTTTCTTGAACCTGCCAGTCTGCTGTGCGCATCTACAAAGGACCCTCTCCTTGATGAAGGCACGCGCGTGCTCGCGGATGAGGTGAGAGGCCCAGCGCCTGCCGGAAAGCACTGGGTAAGAGACAGAATAGATGCTGGACAGGTGACGACAAGGTGATGCTGAGGATACTCAACACCTCTGCGTTTCAAGGTCCCTTGGATTCTGCCTCTTCGGGATCCTAGAGGCCTTCTCCACACCTGTCTCGCCCAAAACCCCAAACCCTAAACACTGAAGCCTAAACCCTAAACCCTAAACCCTAAACCCTAGACCCTACACCCTAAACCCCAAACCCTAAACCCAAGACCCTAAACCCTACACCCTAAACCCTAAACCCTAAACCCTAAACCCAAGTCCTGACCAAAGAGATCATGAAGCCACAGGAGGCGCCGACGCCCAACTGGAGCGGGACGTGAGGGCCGCTGGTTGGTTTCAGGGTTTAGGGTTTAGGGTTTAGGGTCTTGGGTTTAGGGTTTAGGGTTTAGGGTTTGGGGTTTAGGGTTTAGGGTTTAGGGTTTAGGGTTTAGGGTTCAGGGTTTAGGGCTTAGGGTTTAGGACTTGGCATACGTGGTGTTCTCGGGATCGTGATACTTCCGATGTGGCAAGTGACTGGCTTTCTGGTTCGCTTCTCAAACTAACCCCAAACCCTAAACTACCCTGAACCCTAAACCCTAAACCCTAAACCCTGAACCCTAAACCCTAAACCCTAAACCCGCGAGCATAAAGCTCAGAAAAGCTCAGCAGATGCACATGGAAACAACAGAGCCAAACTAGACATCATCTGTTGCAGCTGCACGTGGAGCACGCCTTCTCAATGCAAGAGGGTGATTCAGCGGGTCGGTAACATGAAAGGGTTTAGGTTTTGGGTTTAGGGTTCAGGGTTCAGGGTTCAACACGTAAAGCGGACCCACTTTGCAAGCCAAGTTCTACCAAAAACCAAAGAAGAGGCCATGCGCAAGCACGGGGGCCCTAAACCCTAAACCCTAAACCCTAAACCCTAAACCCTAAACCCTAAACCCTAAACCCCCTTCCGAAACGCCCCCAACCACGAGCCCATGCGGATGAGCAGCATCGTCCACGCCGGAAGCTTCCTGGAAGGGATTTGGGATGTTCAGGGTTTAGGGTTTAGGGTTTAGGGTTGAGGGTTCAGCATCTCAAGTCCAAGCATTCACTAGTCAAGCAGCTTGTCAAGCGTTGGAAAAAAAAAACCACCCACCCAAGAAACCCATAACATTGAGAAAATATAAAGTTCACTCAATACTTTCCCGGTGGGCTTAAAGCTCAAAGTCCAGTTGGCCCAAAACCCGAAATCTAAGGCCCACAATAGACCCCTAAACCCTATGCCCCAAATCCTAGGGCCTTAACCCCTGAAACCTATTGTTTAGGAGCTTCAAAAGGGGGAACCCCAGGAATAAACCCTATGCCCCAAACCCTACAGCCCTAAACCCTATGCCCCAAACCCTAAGAGCCGTTTAGGACCCCCCCGGGTGGAAAAAAACCATTTGCCGACGAAGGGGGTCAGGGTTTAGGGCCCCCCCGGGTGGAAAAAAACCATTTGCCGACGAAGGGGGTCAGGGTTTAGGGCCCCCCCGGGTGGAAAAAAAACGAAGGGGGTCAGGGTTTAGGGCCCCCGCGGGTGGAAAAAAACCATTTGCCGACGAAGGGGGTCAGGGTTTAGGGCCCCCCCCGGGTGGAAAAAAACCATTTGCCGACGAAGGGGGTCAGGGTTTAGGGTCCTTTTGGGTGGAGAAAAATCATTTGCCGACGAAGGGGGTCAGGGTTTAGGGCCCCCCCGGGTGGAAAAAAACCATTTGCCGACGAAGGGGGTCAGGGTTTAGGGCCCCCCCGGGTGGAAAAAAACCATCTGCCGACGAAGGGGGTCAGGGTTTAGGGCCCCCCCGAATGTAAAAAAAACATTTGCCGACGAAGGGGGTCAGGGTTTAGGGCCCCCCCCCAGGTGGAAGAAAACTATTTGCCCACGAAGGGGGTCAGGGTTTAGGGCCCAGAAAAAAACCACATGCCCACGAAGCCCATTAGGGTTGAAATATACATAGTAAGAGAGGGTTCAGGGTTCAGGGTTCAGGGTTGAGGGTTTGGGGTTTAGGGTTTAGGGTTTAGGGTTTAGGGTTTAGGGTTTAGGGTTTAGGGTTTAGGGTTTAGGGTTTAGGGTGGTGTCAAGATGTGCATGATATCACTTGCAAGCGCTCAAAAAGCCAAGCACCCCTCATCCAACTCCAAAGGAAGAACATGTTTCAGAAACCATCGCGGGTCCTTCCACAAACTGGGTCATGGGAACTGGACTGACATGGGTCCATCACGATGAAAGGGTTGGGGCTTGGGGTTCTGGTTGCGGTTCAAGGATTGCAGGATGTTCGCCGCTGCTGTCGGCACTTGCAGAGGTTCGGTTCACCCAGGGACATAGATCCATGACACATACCATGACACAAATCTGCAAGCTTGCGAAGCCGATACGTCCAGCAGGCACGTCAAGGTCTGATCCGAATGCAGTATGCACATGCCACAGAAGTGCGAAGCAAGTCATGGAAAGGCTCAGTTGGGTTTTACGAGTGTTCCGGGCTTGCATGCCAACCTAGACTAACCTGACCGGCTTTAGGAGATCATGGATGATGCATACCTCAAGAGTTTACATTACATAGTACTCATCTAGGATGGCCCCTAAAACCCTCTGAAAAATATTCCTGAATATGATGCTCTTAAACCCAAATAAGGGAAATATAAAATGTCCCAAGGGCCTACCTAGTCATGTGTCATGTGATGTGTGCAGCCATCCTTTCCTCCGCCTGCAGGACAGGAAAGAGGTCGCTTACGGCCGCAAGCACCCCTATTGGAGGGACGCCGGCCGGGTGGTGGAACCCCCAAAAAAGGCTTATATGGGGGTTTATGAAAATAGACACCTAGAATAGACCCCCATGTAATAGCTGTCCGTTTGCAACGGGTCTCCAGCACTTCAAAAAGCTTCTTCAATCCAAACATGCATGAACCAAACCAAGAAGTCCCAAACACAACAAGCGCCAGGAAAAAAGACATGTGTCCATCCGGGACCTGCTCTAGGGCCACAAAACAGGGCGGGATGTGTAGCAACTTGACTGGCCTTTAACACCACAAGGTTCCCAAGAGGGCACGGATTCGTAAATGCCAGAGAGCCGTGGGGATCGGACCGCAAAAATCTTTGGGAATTTGAAAAACAGACCGTTTTTTTCTCCGATGGAGCCTTCAGAGCAGACTTCACCACGGTGTTAAGGTCCTCACGACTTGAGTTTCACACTCGCCCTCGACGTTCGGTGGGATGTGTTGCCAGGGCAAGATCATTCTTTGAGCCAGCTGACTTGGCTTCACTCCGAAGTAGGGCTTCACCAGATTCGCGCGGAAGTACCTCACCGTGCCCAGTCTCCGAAGACAAAAACCTCAAAGATTCTAAGGACTCTACAGTTAGAAGTACCCCTATTAAAGAACAGAAAAAGACTCTACAGTTAGAAGTACCCCTAGAAAAGAGAAGCAAGGCCAAAAGGCTACCATTCTCTCTCCCCCAGGGCACTCCCCGGGCCCGGAGCCCTCGGGGCCTGCATGGAAGAGGACGACTTCGGCTGTTTTGGAGGTCTCCCCCGTCTCCCGCGTCTCCCCTCTCACCGTGCGCAGGAGGTTGGAGGCGAAGTCGGCGATGTCGTGAAAGCTGTGGGAGGTCAGTGGCTGGAGTTGCTGGTAGAACCTATACTGAACTGGGAACCCTAGCAAAAATCAATGTTTTATGCTGCTTCTTAGGAATTAGAATCAAGTACCCAAGAATTAAAAATTATTTCCAAGTACCCCCCATCAGAGAACTCCACGATGCTCTGCGAGTCGGCTGGAGTCGTCAGGTCGAGCCGCGACGGACTGCGGTCCGTGATGAATGCGAAGTAGTTGCGGCACAAGGGGCGCTGAATCGAAAAGTCGGCCCCCAGCCGGAAGAGGTCTGACAAGCTCCACTCCGTGAAGGAGTGGCAGACACTGTCTCCCATGTACGACTTCCGCGTCGCCGCATTCGTGGAATCCCATAGATTGAAGAGGGTGTATGCTGGGTGCCTTCTACCCCACAAGACCACCTCCCTGAACCACTGGTTCAAGATCCTTCCGGTGGCGGTGCCTACGGTGGTCCGATTCGCGCCTTGCAGCCACTCCCCTTTGTCTGAAGCGACGCGCCAGCCCACGACCGCCTGGTTCTCCCAAATCGGGATGCCTCCATCCGAGATGGCTGCGGGGAGGATGGCCTTGGGACCAAAGTCCTTGGTAGCCCAATTAACCATATTGCAATGAGGGCACCCTTTTTTGGGTTGGTGGTTTTTTAAGGGAACCCATGGCCAAGAAAACAAGGGAAAGGGTACCAGCTGGGCTATACCCAGAGTCTCTGGCGAAGTACTCGAAGAGCAGTGGCGGGGTTTCCTCGGACCCGACGACCTGCCGTGTCTCCGTGACCACCAAGGCAGAGTGGGTGAAGGAGAGCAGTGTGGACAAGGACTTGAGGCCGTTGCTGCTGATGGGATGACTGGCCTCGGGTGGCCCTTTGAAACCCTCTGAAACATGTTCCTAAATTATGATCCTCTGAAACCCAACAAGGGAAGATACAAAACAATTCCGCAAAAGGCCTACCTGGTGGCATACTCCACTGTGTACACTGCCTCGTCAGGAAGGCTGGGCATCTCGCTCATGCTTCGGGCGGAACATGCGGTCTCAGCTGGGAGCCAAGGCTGCACGCAACTCCCCCACAAGCGCTGCAGACCTTGGCTGCACTTAGGGGGTAGTTACTCCGTATTCAGAAACCCAATGACCCCAACAAGGCTAAGGATCAAAAAGTTTCAGTAAAGCACCACAAAGAGACCGTCGCCGTCCTGCACGCGGATGCCCTGGGTGGGAAGGCTGGACAGAGCCAGCCACCAGAATTGCATCGTGAACGAAAAGTGTTTGGCAGATACCGGGACAGATTGAGGCTCCTGTGGTTTGGGCCACATGTGCCTGCAGCAGCTATCACGCACGCAACATGAAATATCCATCACTCGGCACTGCTTTGCCCTTGCAATGCACCCACGACCCTCAGAGAAGCCGAAGAGACAACAACGAAGCGGCAACAAAAGCACAGAAACATAGGCAAACACACCTTACATGATCATGTGATCACAACAAAAGTCCCCGGGGCCTTCTGCCTGGGGCCTAGGGCCATCTGTGGGGTCTTTAAGCCCCCCAGGGGGTTTATCAGGCCTTTTCGGATTTCAGAGTAGGAGCAGCATCATGGCACTGGTGGCACACAAGCTGCTCCTCGTGGCTTCAGTCCAGGCCCAGCTGCGCAAGGGTCGCTTGAAATCCTGTAAGTGCGCAGCTGCCGCAAGTAGAATAGCACCTAATGCCAGCTTTGGTTACAGGGTGCTGAAGGTAAAAAGAGGGAGTGTGGAGGCAACTCGCAGGGCCTCCTCTCCTCCCACTGAATTTCGGGGCGCTGGATGAATCGAAACCGCCACATCCAGTGACTGGCTGTCCACACACGGGTTCCACTTCCCCTATCCCTAAACCCGAAACCCTCAACCCTAAACCCTAAACCCTAAACCCTAATAAAGCCCCCAAGGTCCACTAGGTGGTCATGTTGAGGCAGGAGAAGCCACTGACGGCCGGGTTCACAGCTTCAATGATCACCTGACTTGGCTCAAGGCTGCTCAGCTCCCTGGTTGTAATTCTCTCCCGAGTTGTCAGTCGCCGATCGCCCGCGGCAGGGATGGGAAGCATTGCCCTGTAGGTCGATGGATTTCAGCTTGCTGACAGGCCATCCATAGCGCATGCACGTGAACTCGCCAATCTCCGAAGAGATCCTTGTCTCAGAGGGTCTCAAAGAGGGTTTAGGATTTAGGGTTTAGGGTTTAGGGTTTAGGGTTTAGGGGTTTAGGGTTTAGGGTTTAGGGGTTTGACAACACACAGCCTGAAACGAGCAACGGCTGTCGGTGCTAGCGGGCACTGCGCTTCGCGTGCTGTACAAGTACGATCGTTATCGAAGCAGCAGTAGGAGCACTCAGAACAATCACAACGATAATGGCAAGAAAGAGGAGGAGGACGAGGAGGACGGCAAGGAAGAGCAAGAGACTACTGGCAGTGCTCGGAACGTGAACAAGCTCCTTGACGCTTATCTTATCCTTCGGACGGCCGAGAATCTCCTTGATGGCATACAGCCCCTGGAAACGTGTCCAGATCTCGCAGCGGCCATAGCTGTACTCGATCCCGACGCAGCCCCCGGTAGTTTCACACTTGCTCTGGCATCCCGGCAACGAGTAGATGTCATTGAACACCTGGTAGTGCTTGGGGTCGTTGTCCGAGCTGTTGTCCCCACGGCAGGCATGGTTTCCGGGACCTCCGACCTCCTCCCACACCCGGTGGTCCACTTCGCTTTCGTTCCAGCGGCTGGGGCCCGTCATCAAGTTCACCGCGCCGTTCTGGACGATGTGGTAGCCCGGTAAGGCCTCTTCGGTGCATTGCCCCGGTGGCACTGTGACGCAGTGGCAACTGAAGCTCCCACAGCCGCTTGCATTCGCGCCCATGGGCGAGGGGGTTGTGTAGAGGCAGTTGCCGGCATTTGGCACACACTCACCGTGCTTGAACCTGCAATCGTCCGGGTCACATCCCTGATGTGTGCACACTGGGTTATTCGATGCTTTCTCCTGGAAGTCCTGCAAGGTGCTTTGGGCCGACCCCTCTTGTAGAAGGCCGTCGATTTCAACTCCCTCGCACACCCAGAACCAATAGAAGTCGCTCTGCGTCTTGCGGCGGAGGGCCTTGTGCAAGAAGCTCCTTGCACAGGGATAGGAGCAGAAAGAGATCCCAGGCAGCAAAAGAGCTAACGATCCACCGAAAGACATCATGCGAGCGCGGCTGGCTGCGAAGCTATGGATGCCATTGCGGCTGCCGCGAGGGGAAACGCACAAGCAAGAACAGGATTCAACAGGAGCACCTGCTTCGGTATGAACAACCTATCCAACTTCAACTGCATGCCATGTCACACCCCTGCCCAAGCTCCTTTTCGCCAGCAAAGACAAGCCTGTTGGACACTGCGACGGGCGTGCTGCAGAGTGTTTTGTCCTCGGTTTCGGGCTTTCTGAAGGGCCGCTTGGGGCCCGTGCTAGAGGTTTAAGGGGTTTAAGGTTGAGCTTGGGTTTAGCATAAAGAAGACATGAGCGACAGCCCAAGCAAGTTCTTGCAATGCTTGCCAGATGTCCAAGCCAGCAGCAGCAAAGACAATGCACGAATCATGGCTTCAAAACTAAGCTTGGAAGGATGTCACTCTGCCTACAGCAAGGCTTGCTTTCCCTGAGCCCTCCAGTCGGCAGGCAGACGCCAATGCGCCAATGAGTTTCCGTTGCGGAGGACTCTTCTGGAAAATGCTGGAAACCTGAGGAGGAACAGAAATCGTGGGACAGAGAGAGGAGCATCTCAGAGCGTGCACTTCGGGCTGGCTCGGTTTAGGGTTTAGGGTTTGGGTTTATGTCTTCGAACTTTGGCAAGTTGAGGGTTTGCTCTTTTTCTGGCGCAGCGCTTCTATTCTGTGTCTCTCGTGACAATCAGGGAACCTCACGATCTCTTCGGCTGCGCGCGCATGCCCTTGGGCAGCATCCGCAACCTGCATCTCCGTAAACCCTAAACCCTAAACCCTAACCCCTAAACCCTAACCCCTAAACCCTAAACCCTAAACCCTAAACCCTAAACCCTAAGCCCTAAACCCTAAACCCTAAACCCTAAACCCTATACCCTATAAACCCTAAACCTTGCCCACCCTGGTCGCCTAGATCCACTGAGGCAGATCCCGCAGCACCCGCAGGCATCTGCACCACTTGGGGGTTTATGGCACTTATCCGCCGAGGTTTTTTTGCCTGGAATGGGTACCCCCCGTAGGCGACCACGATCTGAAAGCGGACAGGACAGGCGCAGTTGAAGCCCTGCCCAGCAGGCCCCCCCCCCCCCCCCCCCCCCCCCCCTGCCTTTCCCCTCCTTTTGCTTTTCGCCAAACCGTGAAGCGTGAGCCCCCAAAGCCCGCAACCTAAACCTCAACCCTGAACCAGAAACCCGGAACCCTAAACCCTAAACCCAACCCTCGTTGCCTTGGGGTGCAGCAACTTCGACGCTGCGGAATCACCATGCTCACGCGGATGCGCTGGGCCGGGCCGAGGCGGGTCGCGTAGCGTTAAAATTCACCAAAAATAAGGGTACCCAGAACTGTACTCATAATATTAGGGCACTTAAGGGAATTATAAGTACAGTTGCAAGAACAGCTTTAGTTGGTTAATAAGTACCATGAACTTTCAAGCACCCGTTCCACCCACAACACCCGCAAGCGCCTGAACGTCAAGCCTTGGATCATGCTGCCGAGGTGTCTAGGAGCGCTACCGGATGTTTGCTCAGACTCCAACCCTAAGGCTTTAAGGACTCTAAATCTGGGTTTTTGGGCCCAAAGGCATTGTCATACAAAGGTGTCTGGGCTTTTTTGAGCCCACGCGTAATTCTCACACGTTGCGACGTCAAACTCGCCAAGAGGGGGTTGGCCGACTCGGGCCGGGATGGGAGCCTACAGCGGCTATGAGCGGCAACCATTGAATGTGCGGACCCCGTGGCGACGTGGCTCTAACCCGAAACCCTAAGCCCTAAACCCTGAACCCTGAACCCTAAACCCTAAACCCCAAGCCCTAAGCCCTAAAGCCTAAACCCTAAACCCTAAACCCTAAAACCTAAACCCTAAACCCTAAACCCAGCAGCTTTGAGCCGTTGCTTTTGTATCTTCCGGAGCCGCCTCTCAGAGGCATCAATTTAATTCTGGATGAGCATCACCAGGTGATGGCCTGTGGGTTGCGGCAGATGGTCATGTCTTAAGGGTTTGGGGCTTTGCAACCTTTGCTGTATCAAGGGCTTCAAGCGGCTTCAAGGAGGACTCCGAGTCCCTGATACGTGTATCATTGAGGCGACAGATTGGGAAGTCAGATGTTGCAAACGCGTGGCAAGTTTGGAGCCTCATATGCCGGATCTTCTTTGCCGATAAACCTCAATCCACCGCCTCAGGTTCCAGGTCTTCTGAAGCTCAAGTTCAGGAGTCTGCGCCAACACCTGCACCCTCCCCGAGCCCTGAACCCAAAGTCCTTGCCTATCACAGCTTGCAACATCAACCAAGATGCCGTTCGAGCCTTAAAGAAGATCAGCCTCAGCCTTTCGGCTTTACGCACAAAACCCCTGGCAAAACTCTACTCCGCGCGCTTCCTGGAAGGATTTGGGATGTCTAGGTCGGTTAAGCCCTTGTGGTGCCAAGATGTGCGTCCTATCAGGCGCAGACGCTCAAACGCCAAGCTGTTAGTCTTTGGTTCATTGACCCAGCACCTCGCAAGAACTCGGAACCCTTCATCCATCTCAAAAACAAGAACACGTTCGGAAACCAGCGCGAGGCCTTCCACAAGCCGGATCATGGGAACTGGTCTGACATGGGGGCCCATCACGATGAGGGCGAGGTTCAGGGATTGCAAGATGTTCGTTCACGGCTGCTATTGAAGGACATGGAACCGTGACACATAAAATGCATGAATGTTGAGGTCACCTTTATAATGGAGGTGGCAATAATGGGAACTTTTCCGGCCCGGATTTTGGCCTAAAGGTTTGTTTCATGAACGATTTCCTTTACATTAGGTTGTTGGGAGCCTGAAACCCCCATTTTTTCGGGGTGATAAATAGTGGGAAGGTTCCCGGGAGAATTTCCCAAATATGCTTTCGAGAGAAGTCCTGTTGCAAACTCTTTTCAATCGTTTCAATCGAGGAAGAGACCGCACGGCTGAAAGTGCTTCACTTCAGCCACGAGGCTATGACTGGAAGTCCCCCCCCCCCTCCCGGAAATAGTCCCTACTACAACCGGAACCCCGATACCACAACCAGAAGCCCTATACTGCAACCAGAAACTGTACCCTATTACAATTGAGCAGCTGTATGCACAAAAAGGGTCCCTATTGCAACGGGTAGCTTTTTGTAGCGCATCCAGAGTGTGTTCATAGCGTTCACATCGCGCATTTAATTGTAATGCAAGCACGAAGTAAATAAGCGATTGAACGAAACAGATGATGCGCGTGAATTCTCCTCGCGGGACAAGAGAATAAGGGGTGAACAACAAAGCGAAGAGAATCATTCACGAAGTCATGCATTAAACTATGCTATTATAAGCGTATTTATATTGTGTATCCAAGGGTGTGATGAACGTGTCCAAAAGCCCAGGAAAAACTCATTAAAAGCGGTCGTAAACAGCCCTATGTATTTTCTATATTATATTGTAGGGAACGAAGAGACGCACGAATTTAATATGAAGCTTGGGCTTTTTTCCCCCTTTTCATCATATTATTAGGAATATGATCATTATCCCGCACAAGTTTGCATTATAATGGGGACTGCTAGAGCCTTGTTTGTATAGCGTTGTCGAATGACTAGCAGGGTCTTCTAGGGCATCCTTACAAGTCTTAGGAGGTTTTTAGGGCGTCTTTACACGTTCTACGAGATCTCTTAGGGCATCCTTATAAGCTTTACGGAGCTGACAAAGCCCTTGAAGTAGTAAACTTTGGGATTTCACAGGTTTGAAGCTTTCAGGATAGTCAACACTCAGGGTTTACAGGTTTGAAGCTTTCCGAGTAGTAAAACTTTCGGGTTTTGCACAGGTTTCAAGCCTTTGGGGTAGTACACTGTTGGGTTTTTATTGTTAATCTTTCGGGATTTGCCGGTTTGAAGCCTTTGGGGTAATACACTGTCGGGTTTTACAAGTTTGAAGCTTTCGGGGTAGTACAGTGTTTGGTCTACTGCTTGAAGTCAAACCTTCAATAACGTAAACCCCTTCAATATTAGTCTTTCGTGGGTTCATCATGAAGATTTAGTAGATTGTAGCATCCGCGCGAAGAACGGTACCTACTGCAACGTATTGTTTCAAAAGATCAATGTGTTTCCTTGGGGGGTTGCAGGCCCCCCCTTTCCCCCCCCCCCCCCCCTTCCCCTTTGCCCCCCCCCCGCTCCCGCTCCCCCCCCCTCCCCGCCCACTCCTCCCCCTCCCCCAAGTTGAGACCCGGACCCTTTCAAAGTTTTGTTTGGACCCAGGGCCGGAACAATCCGGGGCGGGGGGGTGGGGTGTATTAAAGCGACCTAAACATTAATCTGCAAGCTTGCGAAGCCGATATGTCCAGCAGGCCGTACTTCAAGGTATGATCTGAATGCAGCATGTTTGTTGGCTAAAGCTTGATTGGGGTTGGGGAATGTTCGCATCTAAACCTGGGCGAAGTCATGCAACAGAAGCACCCTCAACCCTAGGCCCTAAACCCTAAACCCTAAACCCTAAACCCTAAACCCTAAACCCTAAACCCTAAACCCTAAACCGGTTGTAACCTTCTGCGCGTGTTTCGACTTTTCTGGCCCAGCATGCTGTTAAAGATCGTGCAGCAGAGGCTTTTTATCTGCTGTGAACGCCTGAAGGCTGGGCACCTGTGCACCTGCATGGCCGATTTGAAGCGTTGCAGGGCTTTCGGCCTTCCGTATGGATGGCTCAGGCGAGAGAGGCAGGCACCTTTTGACGTTTCAGAAGTTTCAGGAAACATTATTTCTGCTCCGTTTTCGTGAGCAGCATGTACATGTACGTAGCCGCGGCAAGTGCAAGCACAATCTCGTCAAGCCTGACAATTGGGATGCGTGGCCATGGCTTTCCAGCATGCACAGCGCGTGCACGTGCGAAAGCCGTCACGCTGGTTTCGCAGGAACCCTCCAACCTTCACATGCATCTGCCTTAAGCCCTTACAACAGAGCGACCTCCATTCATGCTGCAACATCCAAAACCGGCTGCGACATGCACAGGAGAGCGCCGTCC